TTCTATTCGTTTACAATTAGTCAAGCTACAGGGTGATAAAATATTCTCCAATAACACAATAGGACAACAAAACAAGTAACAATTTATTATGCATATAGATTCCTCATCGCAGAGAATATGTAGGTGATCACCTAAAAGCAGTCATGACGTCAAATGATGAGAAAGAGTAAAAATATGTACCCTCATTTTCTCCTGTAACTTTTTAGCATCAAATTCTTCCCCCTCACTAAAGATATCCATTGATGCCATTGATGCCATGGCTAATTGGCCTATGTACTCCTCAAAAAGCTCACTGCCAAAAAGCATGGCAAAGATTGCTGCTGGATCAATAATTGCATCACTGCAATGAGACGAACAGAGTAGCTCAGAATCAGCACAAGACCAAATATGTGGCACACCTTGTAAACATTGATATTCAAAATAGTTCATTCATATGTTAAGAATTAAAAAATAAAAAATAAAAACTAACGTTGAGATTCCAGATTTTCCATGAGTATCATAAGCTTGTCGTTGATTTGGATCACTCAAAACCTGGTAAGCTTCGCCCAAAACCTAAAAACAGATTAGCAACATTGGAAAACATTAATGGCATCAGAAGTTGATTAACAGCAGGACAATCCAGGCAACACAAATTGATGAAAGAATGGTATAAACAGCCAGATATTAAATTGAGAGAAACAGCATGAATTCAGCATTGGAGAATATAACATATTTAGTTGAAGCCACACTTGCACTTACCTCAACAGGGCAATTTAGCAATAGGAAACAACAGGGCAATAAAAAATTCATTCACGTCAAAACATTTAGTTCTGCTGTTGAATGCCACCAACAATTCAACATTGAGGGACCACAAAGGTAAAATTAATTAAAGTACATATTTTTTTTTTTTATAAATATGAACCTAATCCAATATCTGGGTCCATTTTAAACACTAACTATGCCCAAAGAATGATAAAAATTGATATCTTGCACCGCTAAAGGCACGCCCAATACAATTATGCAATATAAAAAGAATGGAAAGAGACAGGATAATAATGGTGAAAAAAGAAAGGCTTTCACATTTTCCAATAGAGCTTTTAATTACAAGTTTTTTGGACCCTCCATATGAATTCTTTTTCACAATCCAATTAACCAACTCACCAAGCCCGAAGTAACAATTTTCTTATCACTCCAACTCATGACACGCACATATTTCCAAACAGGGGAAGGATTTGCTGCACAAATCCTCGAAAGCTATAGGTTTGAAGTAAAACATGGCAGTCTTGCCTGAAATTTTTGTGCTGCGAGAGGGTCATTGGGGTTTTTATCTGGATGTACTTGCCGTGCCTGCAAGCCCAAGACAAAGAGAAATAAATAACACGAGATAAAAAGAAATATCAATATACTAATTAGTCATAGTTCGTTCAACGTGGCAGAACTGAGACTGACGGACCATTACCCCATATCGGCATATCCTGTCCACAAATATGCTATTTTCTACCTATTGAGGCGGATTAGTTGAGGTAACACGGATCTACATAAGTTTTACATAGCTCGCAAATTATGTAACTCTAAGAAATCCAAATTATTGGTGAAAACAACAGAATCAGCTTATTCACAGCAAGGTAAAGGATCCACGAGACAGATTCTCACCTTCATGTAATAAGCTTTTTTAATCTCGGCCTCAGTTGCCGTGGGACTGACTCCCAGCACGTCATAGTATTCGGTATCCTTCACCATCTCAAGGTGGGTGATCGATATTCCCCTATGAGATAACGCCGGGAACGATCAGATCTTCACAGGCCAGGCAACAAATGATACAAGCAGAAAATAAACAAATAGAAACGCACAAATCAGAGCAGGTAACACGAATTAGATTCCTATTCCGTACCCACCACGCCCAAAGTCACAAGCCGGGAGCCGCTGGCGTTGACTGCGACAATCGCGTAATTATTTTGAACGATGATGTGAAGTATGTCGGAATTTTCACCTCCGTCACCGTCGTGTAAAGATTTTCAGAGCAACTCGTTAAGAGAGTAGGCCTTTCCCAGTTTGCTTGGGCATTGTGTTTTACGAAGGTTTGCGGTCAAATCCTCGACACCGTGAGGCGAGTCGACTTCCCCTTTTTACCTTTCTTCGAGCACTCTTAAAAGACTCCGACAAGCTTCATCGCCTATGAGTCATCACAAAGACACGGTGTATTTTGTTATCTTGTGGCTCGGAATAAATCGCCCTGGCCTCGAGGATGTACTATTTCCAGTTTTCCACTTTTGAGAAGGAGGCTTCTTTCCTTCCCCGAAAGACTATATAGGGCGTGTTTGGTTCTTTGAATAGATAATACGCGTATTTAATTATAATTTAGTTTTGCTAAATTCCTTATTTGTTAAGCCAACAAGAAGAAAAAGAACTAGCGCTTCCATGGATAGAATTTTGGAGAGGTGATTGTATATTTTTTATAAAAGTTATATTATTTATAAATAGTGTGAATTATTATAAATTTTATATTTAGTATTTAAACTGATAAATAAATGAAAGATAAAATTTATACCGTTAATTTTAGGATTTCCTTTTTGATGGATTGATGGATGATGGAATGGACAAGGGGAAATATTTAAAACAAGATGCAGTATTATTATAAGTTACACTTTCTTTCTTTTTTATCACTTTCCGTTGTTCTAAGGGTTTCATTGTAAAAAAAAAAAAAAGTATAAGTCATTTTCTTGCATTGGTTGTTGGTTAATTTTAAATAATTGTACATAATTTTGATATTTTCTGTTATTTTGCTCTTCGGTGATAGAAATGGTGCATGACTTTTAATTATATACCCTTTTTTTCCATCACAGTTTTTTACTTAAACGCTTCAATCTATTTTCACCTAAAGTTCTGAATTGTAAGTGCAATCATTAGTTTCATCTCAAAAGTGCTTATGACGTATGATTTGGTGTTTGAAATTTTAAATTCCAGCTTAGTAATAAGAGTTTAGGAGTTGGCTTTGATTTTATTGAAGTTAGGAGTTAAGTATGGTTTAAGCTTTAGTATTGATGGTTAGGGATGGGACAAGGGGATTGAAGGTTTAAGATTTAAGATTCAAAGCTAGGGTTTTGGAGTCAAGAGTTAGGGGTAGAGTTAAGAGTTTTATGCTCTAAGGCTTGGATTTGGATGCAGGGTTTATAGTTTTATGATTCAAGATAAACTATTAACATTAAGACGCGTGTTTAGGTTTAAGGTTTAACATTTAGGAATAATGACCCAAAGAGCAAAATTTAGGATATAAGGTACCCCTTCCATCCCAAATTATAAAATATTTTTGAAAGAGTTTTTCCATCTTAAAATATAAGACATTTTAGATAAATTAAAATTTCATTAAATGCGTCAATTTCAATATTACTATTTTTCTATCTATAATTAATTTTAATTCTTTCTCTTTTCAATATATTAAATGTAGGTATTTTTAGAACTTTATATTTTTATTTTGAAAAGATAAGGTTGTTAGATATATTTAATAAAGTTTATTAGTATATGAAATTTTTATCTACAAGTGTCTTATAATTTAAAATGGAGAAAGTAAATGAAATAGAATTTAAAGATTCAAACTTAAAATGTGATAACTCTGAAAATCACCCTTTCTAGGTGGTCATTGAGAAAGTCAAAGACTTTATTACGATTGATCATGTTTACAAAAAATTAAATAAATATGCCAATTTTCTAGCTCATATCAAGTGATAATTTTGATATTATGATTTTTGACAACATACCTCCTAATTGTCAAAACATTATAGTTTTATATATGACCTGATATGATTTCTTTATATGGTTTTTTCATTGCCTTATATTAAAAAAAATTGGTTAGACACGTTGGGCTTGGAATTTAGGCTATGTTTAGTATGAGGTATTGATAGGTTGGGACTAAGACTAGTATTGAAGAAACTCACAGATACAATGTTTGGTATGATGGATTCTTTAATTCTTATATCTGATGAAACTCATGCAGACGGGATTAATGAAACTCATATAGACGGGATTAATGAAACCCATGAGGGAGGTGGGATTAAAAATTTAAACCTGAGATTGAATTTTTTTAGATCAAAATACCCTCAATTTTTTTACACATCTGGCCTTCCACCTTTGTCTTCTCCAATCTTGCAGCCACCGGCCAACGCAAACACCTTCTCCTTCTCCGATCTCGCAACCACAACCTCTGAATCTCGCAACCATCACTGCGTTCTCCTTCCCTCGATCTCACAACCGCCAACCTCTAGATCTCACAGCCATGACCTCTGGATCTCGCAACCATCACTGCATTCTCCGTCGCCGATCTTGCAGACACTGTCATTTAGATATCAGAATCACTTTTGTCTCCATCTCTCACAGGTTCAAACTCAATCTCCCTCTCTCAAAAGATGCACAGTCATGAAATGGAGAAGATGAGCTTGCGCTGCCATGATTTTCGAGAAGGTGTTCCATTTTTTTTTTATTTTAAGGGTAGTATAGTCTTTTCATACTTTATATTTAATTGTAAAACAAAATAAAAATAATTATTCTTTATAAGTATTACCTTATACCAAATATAATTTTAAAGTCTTATTCCCACTACCAATTTCAATATCAATATCCTAATACCAATCCCTCTAAATTCAGGCTTTCGTACTAAACAAGGCCTTATGGTTCAAAGTTCTAGGGTTTGGAATCCAATGATTTGGGACCAAAGCTCTAAGGTGAGAATTAGAATTTGGAATTTGGATTAAGGCTTATAGTTTTATGTTCAATGAAAATATAAAAATAATTAATATTATAAAATAAACATGAAATCTCCATAAAGCCACACAGCATTCTAATATATGATTCAATTTAATTCAAGAAAAAAATATTTCACATAAATTCATGCTTTTTTAACACAAAACACTAATATCGATTAACGTTTGTTTGCCGAGTGCCTTCTCCCACACGAGGCCATGAAGGTTGCTTAGAAAGGAGCATAACAAAGCATGCAGAATATTCAGAACAGAGCGGTTGTGGCAGCAAAAGACCAGAGGATAGCAACGACAGAAAGTGATTAGCGTCTAGTCGGCGAAGTCAGAGAGTTGTGCACTACCTTCCTAGTCGGTGAAGCTTCCTGTTTTCTTCCCTTATCCTCTACTTTCATACCTTTTCCATCTTGCATTTTCGGAAAGGGGAAAAAGATTGAGGGATTCTCTTATATTGCTGTTTTGCCAGATTCAGAATCTGTCCTCAAAGGCTCAAGCTCAGTTCCTTTTAATGAAATGGGTCTCTGGGATTCTTTTCTCACCTGGCTCCGCAGGTAAGCTGTTTCTTGCCCATCCTTTCCTTCGATCGCCGATTTTTCCTTTATCTTGCTGGAAGAACCTCTGGTATCAATGTGTAAAAAATATTCATAGTTCCCTGCTTGTTATTTATTTCTATTTTACAATTCCAAGGTGGTTTGCTAGCTTGTATGTGAACACACCTATGTCAGCAACATCCAATGTGACAGAAAAAATTTTGTCCCACAGAATCAAATTATATCCTTTTTGTAGGTTGTACAATTGCTGTGAAGTTGATCAAATCCACAACTGTAGAAATGAAAACTAAAAAATACAATTTGTAAGGGGCACAAGTCCTGTAGCGGCTCCTGCAACTTGAAATTCATCCAAGCTCCCTTATCGCAGTGGCATTTGAATAACTTCTTCTCATCTATCTATCCATAAACTTTTATGAGGGACAGTGTGTGTATCTGTGTTTATTTTGTTTCATTGACTTATGTTTTTATGGATAGCACAACTGGTTTATTGGTTCCTCCAAATCCCTGTAATTTTTCTACATTTCTGTATCAGCTTATTTTTTAAGCAGGAGATGGAACTGTCTCTGGTAGGTCTTCAGAATGCAGGGAAGACATCACTAGTCAATGCAATTGCTGTGAGTTGGAGCAAATCCTGATTTTCTTTTGCTGCTTATTGATAAATAACAATATTTTTGACATCAATCATTTGATCATTTTCACCAGACAGGAGGATACAGTGAGGATATGATTCCAACTGTAAGTATTTTTTCCCATTTTGAGTAAAAAAATAAATATATATATATATATAGAGAGAGAGAGAGAGAGCATATTTGAACATTGTATAACAGAAATTTTTTCCTACTGTGAAACCCAGATAGGGTTCAACATGAGAAAAGTGACAAAGGGAAATGTCACAATAAAGCTTTGGGACCTAGGAGGACAAAGGAGATTCCGAACAATGTGGGAGCGTTACTGTCGTGGTGTCTCTGCTATTGTGTACTTCCAATCTCTAAATACTCTCTTTGCAGACACATACAGGCATATAAATATACAAGGCATAATTTTTCCTTCAACTATAATAGCTCCTAATTTTAGAACTTGAGCACAATTGGCCCGGAAGAGAGAATACTGGTCGTATGAGTACTAACAGCAACTCTATTGCATGAGAATTTAGAATGGAGAGAAATGAATTGTCACTTCACTGCACAAATTTTTGTTCAAGATACTTTAAAGTAGGTTGCCATTTCATCCCTTTCTTTGTTGAGACGCCATTCTACAGGATTGAATGATCCCTGCATATGCCTAGTGAGCACATAATTGCACATGTGTACTGATCACCTATGTCAAGGGCCAGTTAACTTAAAAGCTTAATCTATTAGAACGACTGATCCTTGCTATGAAACGTGGGTGGTAGCTGGTAAGGAATGTCTCACTGCATTGTTATAAGGGTCTAATGCTACGTCAAAGCTCAGACTTCATATTAGGAAATCCTAGAGTAGTTTCCAGCATGCATAGCCGATCTTACAGCTTTTTTCATACTGTTGTTTGACTTCTGCTAGACATGCCAGGCAGAAAATGGTTTTGTCTTTATTATGGTTTGCTGATTAGAGTGGACATAACTTTTTAACACTTGAGTACTATACCCTTTCTAAAAGATTTGTTTTTTCAACTGATGAATTGAAAGACAGTTATGTTGTAGATGCTGCTAATAGGGACAGCATTCCTGTCTCTAAAAGTGAGTTACATGACCTCCTAATGAAACCTTCTGTGAGTGAGATTCCTTTGCTTGTTCTTGGGAACAAAATTGACAAGTCAGAAGCACTATCCAAACAAGCATTGGTAGAGCAGTTGTGAGTTCAGAAAACTTGATAGAACTTGCTCTATGAATTGTTGCTCAGTTCAGTTTCCATCTCTTGTATGTATCTGAAAGATTCTTTGGATTTTCATCTTGAATCATCTCAGAGGACTTGTGTCAATCAAAGACAGAGAGGTCTGCTGCTACATGATTTCTTGCAAGGATTCCATAAACATCGATGTTGTCATTAATTGGCTTATCAAGCACTCCCGATTTGTAAAATGATCCCTCGTCCTGACCACTTTCTTCAGTTTTGGTCGTTAAGAATTGATGTGTATCTGGTGGTTATGGTCTGTTGAAGTAGTGTTCCTGTAAAGTGACCAACTGTCAGTGCATTTCATGCCTTGTTCTTAATCAACCACAAAACAGATGACATTATCCACCTGGTTACTTCACTTTGAAATAATTCTAATGTTTATAAATAAGCCAAATGAGAATAAATTACAGCATAAGAGGAGCCGTTTAAGACAGGTTGAAAGTACCACTTTAAAGACTAGATGATCTTTATTGTTCATCACACTTTCATTCTTAATTACAACACGCAATTGATTACGCACGTGATAGGATTTAGTTTATCTAAGTCCTCAATATTCTCAAACCATGATGATCTCAATAGCCCGAGTCTCCATCGCTCAAAGCTTGCTAGTGACATTAACGGCTCGCAATTTAGGCGATTTTGGAGCATCTTTAGGAACAATTACAGTGAGAACTCCATTTTCGACCTGTGCCTTAATCTGATCGACCTTAACATTTTCTGGCAATTCAATCGCGCGAGAGAAATCACCCTTTCCTGTTCCCCTCTCAGCCACATGCCAGACAGAGTCTTTCGGTTGATGCTCATCTTTCCCACCTTCACCTTTGATGTGCAAAATATTCCCATCCTCAATCTGCACCTTTATGTCGTCTTTGGTGAACCCTATTCAAATCAACAAATCGATCAGTAACATTACTGAATCAGTACCAACGCCATCAGGAACGTTGAATAATCTAAGTTGAAGAGGGTAAGATGATGTTAGGTACCAGGAACGTTAATCTTGAAGATGTGAGCAGAAGGAGATTCAAGCCAATCCATGAGAGCTGCTGATCCTGACCATTCTCCGGAAATCGGAGGGCTCCAGAAGAAGCGCCTGAAAGGGTACCCGAATAAGCTGTCGGCCATATCTGAATCCTAGAAAAGCCCAAGATAGTAGACTTGCCCGGAAAGATAAGGAAGAAGCTCAAACAGTACAGAAATTCAGTTTGGTCAAGGGTTTTATAGGAGTTATCGCGACTATCCAGAATGTTCCCGGGATCTTGTCTGACGCATATGCATGGCACGTTGACAAGAAGACGACATGATGGTTCAGGAATCATGGTGCGCTCTCGAGACTGAAATTAGAACCAGACCAGGTTACTTAGTGGGCTAATATCTGATTTGGGTTTTGGGTTTTAGTCATTATTGGGCTTTAAACGAAATGTCGGAATGGTATTGGGTTTTTTTCGATTGATTTCGTTCATAAACACTTGTTTTTGGGCCAAAATATTTTTATTTCTAATAAACTTAATTTTTTGTAATTATTTGGTATTCAAATAATTGAACAAAATTCAAGTATTATTGGGTGCTATTGAACTTGAATGAGAATAGCACCTTTTCTATTCCAACTGTTTGAAACTATGATGGTAGTAAAAGATTCCTTCCATTTTACTCATCATATAGTTTTGACTCAGTTAAAATTTATACTCAATATAATTCACTTTTTATAGTTTTTATCTAATTAAAACTCAATTTTTAAATTTTAATTTAAATAAATTCATTTCATACAATTTTTTCTGTTTAAAACATTATTTAACTTTAAAAAAAAATAATTTTAATCTTTATAATTTTATATAGTAAAAAGATTGAGTTATATCAACTTAATTTAACATTGTATTTTAACCAAATTAAAAGTATAGGTAGCACCAACAAATGTCAGTCTAATTGGCAAGAATTTAGCCTATAACTTACAAAATTTTTGAATCAGGTCCATCTTCTGATTGTTAGTAAGCAATTTGTAAATATTTTACATTTAGTTTTGATGAGCTTCTATGATTTAACTCATGTAATTTTTTTAATAAAAAAGAAAGTATAGGTAGCAAATGATTAATTTTCCTAGGATATTTTTTTGTCTGTGATGTTTTATCGTTTCAAGCTGAGGCACTTGATAGAAGGAAGTCTCCCAAACAGATCTTTAATCACATTGTTTTTATATTGACAATATCAAAACTTGTCTTGGCTAGGCAACATCCAAAGAGCCTGTACACATCAAACCTCTTTACACCGAATTAATAAGAGTTGCATCATGAACAAAACCAATCAGGAATCAACACATGTATTACCTTGTGGATAGATACGCCTAAAGCAAATGTGTCTGAAATCAAAAAGCTCTGTATTGCCATGTGAATGTGATTCTGAGGCTTCCCCTCGTTTACAAATTACAAGCCTCTGCACAATGCTGATATACAAGGGTCACCTTCCACTTCCTAACCACTCCTTTCTCTTTCATGACAACATTTAAAAATGTTCAGATCAAGAACGATTCTTTAGAGTTAACTTTCATTCGATTTTAACTCTTGCTCTGCTTCAAATTTTTAACGAGTGCTTAATTTTATAGCTATATCCTAGTTCAGTTTTACGTTGGGTTTCTCATTGCTTGGTTAATTCATTAAAGTCTAGTCAAGTTTGCATGTCATCTTGGCAACAAAAGGACGTGTTGCTCAGAGAAAATAAATTCTGAAGATATTGGGTCTGAAAGGAAAAGGAAAGGTAGAGTGAAAAGAATACACTAACACAAGACAACTTTTTTTGATTTAGAAAAATGTCAAAACTCTCTTCTTTTTTTACACCATCTTTGGTAGAAAAGTAAAACTTTTTTCACATTATCCAAAACACATTGTGAAGACATGTTTTCTTTTTCCTTAAGAAAAAGAGAGAACTTTGTGTGGGTTTGTCAGTTTGCAGTTTGTGGGGAGAATAATAATGAATGTCTGGTGAGATACACTTTATTGAGAATACTATTGAAGCATGAAAATCTGTACACGCGTGATTGCTTAATTGTGAAGCTTTGGATGGCATTCATCTGGAGGCTAGTCCACAGATTTCGTTATTCAAGGATGCTTGGCTAAAAGACATAGCACAGTACAACAAAGGAAGGAGTAAAAGTTGATAGGGCTTTTACAGTCCAAGTTTTCTTGAGGCACTTTTTTAGTCTTTTGTGTCATAGGATTAGGATCTCGAGTGGATGGATTCAATTAGATTGTCTTGTCTCGCTTTCTTATCCACTAATCACTAACAATATTGAACACTGAAATATGTATAGAGTTTGATTGGACACATAATTAAGTTATTGTTGGTGACAAAAAGATGTTGTCACTTCACATCATGCAATTCTATGATATGCACTTGTTGTACTGTAAAATATTGGTATGTTTTATGAAAAACGTCATTATATGAGACTTAAAAATAAACTGATTATACTAATGCTACTCATTTTTCTGCAATTAAAGCACTGATATTTTATGAAGCTGCTAGGACTTAGGACAATGTATGGCTGCAAAAAGAATCCAACTCCGAGCTAGAGAGGCAATTAGTGAGTTTGGATAGTGATATGATCTGTGGATCAGAAATTCAAAATCCTTACATGAAGGGTTTCTTCATACTCTAGTTTCATTTAATCTTCTATAAGACCAAACAATGCAAACTTTTCGTGTAATGCACCGAGAGTAAAAGCTAGTTTTTTTTATTTAACGTGAGTGAATATTTTAAAACTTGAATTCAAAATTTTAGAATAAGTTTGACTTTTTAGATTAATTGAACTAGTAAAAAAAAATCACTTACTCGCCATGCTTTTTTACTTAAAAGTAATTCTCAAATAAATGATTTAAAGAATTTTTTCTTCAATAACCTAGCTAACCCTGTCCCACAGGATAGGGAATTCTATGTGCATGCCTTTTGTACACTCATCATACTTCACACAACAATCCACACACACATAAATTTTTCCCCCTTTAACTTCAAGGGGTGTTTGATTGTAGAACCTCTTGTTACAAGAGGGAAGACTATGAGGATGGCAATGGGATTGCAAATGATGATTGTGCTGAAGTGATTTTTTTTTTACAAAAAATGTGTAAATATTCACAAGTGAAGGGAAGATGAATGCTTATTGGCTTTATGACAGCCGATACATATGGTACGAGAGAAAAATTGAGCTGTATATTTGTATGTTTATATTTCATAATTAAATATATTATGTAGTACATGTACGTAACAAATACATATAAAAAAAAATTAAATCTTGAAGGCTAAATACACATAACATGCATGTAGTGTCCCAAAAATCAAATTTTCTTAGAAGTACGTTGACTAATTTAATTTAGATTGGTTTGGATTTTAAAACAATAAATTATAAAGGCTAAGTTATGCTAAGTTAAAATTTAGTGACTAAATTGATAATTAAAAAAAAATTAGGGATTAAGAGTTATATTATCTTATTTTAAGATTAATCAACTAATTTACAACTTAGCGTTCAGGTTAACTGAACAAGCAATATTTAATGGGAAAAATAAATAAATATTTTCTATTACTTTTTAAAGAAGCTTTGAAAAAAGGCATGTTTAGAAAGCAAAAGGAGAATCATATGAAAATTCAATGTCCCAAAAAGATGAAGAGAGGCGCATATACCAGTGATACACGGTAAAGGGTGGACATTATAAGTGTCATGCAACTTTACAATTAAAGATTAAAGAATATTAATGATAATAATATTATAGTAATAATATATAATACACAAAGATACACGCCACTTTGTTAAAGTGGGAGGGCAAATTATGGAATCTTTTGATCTCTCGCTTTCCTTCATCTTTTTTTCTTCTTCTTTTGCATTCATTCCAATATGTGCCTCCATGATCTCTTTAATCTGATCTCTTCAAATTTATTTTTTTAAAAAAAATGGGAAGATAACAAATTGACAAAGCTAGTAAAGAAAAAAGTAGCCACCAAAAGCAGAATCATAGAAGGCAGAGACCGATAAATGGGCTGCTTGACAATCTTTTATTGTTTCTTTGATTTACTTACCTGCATAGGAAATGATTAAACCAACGAATTTTAAAAAAATAAAGTTAGTGTAATCAATGGTGCATCACTTTTTTTAATAAAAAAGAGATAAATTAAAGTGTGTGATCAGTACTTACCGCGATCTTCACAAAGCTTCCTCAAGAAAGCAAGGAAAATGATAAGTATGGCTACTCCTGCTAATAATCCTATGATTATTGCAAATGTCTTCTCTCCTTCATTTGATTTCTCTGCATCACGTAACAGCAATCAACACTACAACACTAATTAACATATCACTATTCATCTTAATATATCCAAAACCAGCTAATTAATGATAAGACATACGTTGGTATATCTATGTTTCAACAGGTGAGGATCGACACCAACGTTATATATTACAAAAAACCACTCAAATCAAGAAGCTACATTACCCAAAAAAAAAAATCACTCAAATCAAGAAGCTATCAAGAGAATATTATAAAATGAAATGGAACAATACATAAAATATTTGAATTATTTGAAATTCTATTGAAACTGAAAATTAATCATTAAACAATTTAATGTATCAATTCAAAGATTAATCGCCAAAATTGTCATTGAATAGTTACCAAATTAATTATAAATAAAATATTTTATTAAACCAATTAAGATATTAATTTAATGATTTACTAATTTAACTGACTAAGCTAACCCAATTTTGAATACTATCGTTGTGTAAGTTGATTGACGATGATGTGAGACAATAAAAAGAAAATGATGAGACAATGATCAGTTCACTGCTTCTGGTGAATTTTCTTGGTTTTACACTCAACCCACATGACATTTTTTTTTACACGATACAAAGCATAACCATTCACTTCACGAACCCACAGTTTTGCTGGATCAAACGAAGAGGAATGAGAGGGGAAGGAGGAAGAGGAAGAAGGCGGCTTGCAGAGGCAGCGTGATTAAATGGGCCTTACCGTGGGCCTTGGAGTAACCGTGGGACCCACCGTACCGGTGGAGTACCTAGCGTAGCACTTAGCCAAGAACATGTCCCCATAATCCGCTGTCCCACAATCGCTTCTCAGCCGTCCGATCGCCTCCCCCAGGCAATCCTGGCACTCCGCGAAGCTCAGATCCCCCGTACACTGGGCTACACCCCGCACCTTCCCCGACCCGCCCACCCGGAAGGGACCGCTCGAACCCGCCAGCCCGGACATGACCGCGTCCCTGCTCGACATGGCGTCCGAGTTGTATCCGACGGACGGTCCGCATTTCTTCAGCACCACCGTCTTGTCCTCGACGCCTAAGAACGTGGCGTTGTCGTACTTGACGTAGCAGCCATCGAGCTGAACGGCGCCGCCGCAACGCTGCTCGCAGAGGACGCCGGCTCGCGTGACGGCGCGGGCCACGCAGGCGGCGCAGTCGGGCATGGACAGATCGCCGCGGCATTGGTGGACGCCGTAGACGACGTCCTGAGCGCTGGAGCCGATGATGGTGAAGTTGTTGTAGGTGGAGTAAGTGGCTGAGTTGACGAGTGAGGTGAGTAGCGAGTCAAGGTTTGACTCGTACGGTGAGTTGGGAATGAACTGTTGCTGGGTGCACCCACCGTAGAGGAAGGAGTCAGTTGAGGCTAAGACTGAAGGGTCAAGGAGGTAGCAGAGAATAATGGTAATGACGAGGAAGAAAGGGCTTGTTTGGGCCATTTTAATTAGGTCGATATATGTGCGTGTTTCGGAGTGTGTTTATGTTGTTTGTGTGTGAAGAAAGATGGATGGGAACTATCTAAAAGGAGGAGAACATGAGAGAGAGTGAAATGTGTTGGTGAGGTTGGAAGCAGTTTTCATGGAGGAATATTGCAAGTGAAGAAGAAGGACCCGTGAGCTTGTTTAATGAGTTGCTTTATATAGGCAAATCCCATGGCTTGCCCGTTTCATATAAATGATTAAAAAACTTCAATTCACGTTGCGGTGTCTCAATTGTTTTCTTTTAAACTGATGTATTATCTTTTCATTTTTTTTTTCAATGAAGAATTCTATGTGTTAAGTGATCATATAATAATATAGTAATGCTATGCTGCAGCAAACAATGAACTGTTGTTGATATTTTTCATGTGATAGGTATAAAAAAAAAAAAAAGAAACTATCATTGGTTGAAAAACTTGAAACCTTGGCGATTAAGATAAACTTGTTAGAAAAGTAGGCAGTAAACAAATAGCAGACTAGTGCTTTTTCTAGCTCTTTTCTCAGTAACAGTCACGGTAATGTAACATCCTCCAGAAAAGACTAGAGTTATCCATCTCTTTAACTTTCATGAGTTTATTATTGAATATATTACTACTGTGAAAGATATTGGCTTTAAGGCCTACCCAGTTAAAGTTCTTGAGAGTTGTAAAAGAGTCTCTTATTTCTGAAACCATATAAAAATAACTTTTATAAGGTAGTGAAAAGAGATATAATGAACTTTTATCAAGGTAGTAAAATAAATTAAAACATCAAAAGTCTCTGGTTTCAGAGCAGAGCCATGCCATAGCCCTAACTAATCAACTTTATTTTTACCCCAAAAAAAAGAAAAAACTTTTGTGATGGGTGGGACAGGTGATTCGAATCCTATGATAAACTCTGTATCATCTTTTTCCTATAATTTTCCATGCAAATTTGTCCAAACTATATATAAATGAACAGTCAACAATGCACAAACACAACAAGTGATCAGTTCAGATTTCAGAATACAAGAAGAGACAGTGAAGAAACTTATCCAAAGTAATAACTGGAAACAGCGAGCTAACTGGTCGGTCATGCATGAATCTACTGTAGAACTCATCAGAGAGAGCTTTAATTTGAAGAAACTATATATTTCTATATATAAAACATTTCTCTGCTCAATAATTACGACAATGGAATCTATGTATGGATTGGAAAAGCAAGGAAAATAGTGAGACTAAGATAAGACTCCAACACTTTGCTTATTAGGGGAGAGAAAATGCTTTTGGAATGACGACAGAACAAGACAACTGTGATGCCGCACTACGCCAACCCTCCTCGTCACCCTCACCTTTAGCAGCCTACTACAATAGTTCATTTTCCACTGCTGAACCAACCTTGTTGCATCATCACCTAAATGGCCTTATTGTTTATATCCATCGGTTCAGTATCACACAATAACTCAACTGATTCACTCTTCTAGTTGGTTTGATATATACACAAGTTACATATATATATATATATATATATAAGGTCTCTCTCTCATGTGAACTTCAACAGCAAGAAATTAAAGTGGGACTCCAATCAATGGTTTTTGGAACAAAATCATATGCTCACGGGAATGCTTATTGTTTAAGTTTAAATCACAAACGATTTTACTGCAGATTAATGCCTGCTACTATTTTCTTGCATTTCTATGTATGTCGCAGTTTGAAAATCACACATATGGTCCCCCACAAGGACCCCTACCACCACTTGAAACTCAAAGGACCATCATATACTTATATGATCCAATGAGGTTCTGCATATAATGTGTATTCAAATCACGGATAAAGATACAGAAGAAAGAACAGTACTTTATACTGTTTCTGAACTCAAAACTTGAAAGTATCATATCTTAAACCTCATTTTAAGCTAAGTTAGTGTATATATTATGGGTGAACTCTATCTATATAGAATTGATCAAGATTTAAAGGTAGGCTCTTGGAGATGTGATGGGTATGGGGTAAGGGCTAGACATGTTGAAGAAGACATGCTGAGATTTAATGCGCAGAGATCATTCTCTCACGAGAGATCAAGATCGGACTAGTGGTCATTTTTTATCTTTCATTTTTTCTCATAATTTTTTTCCTCTGTTGGTCTAGTACATGGAAACACACACATACACTTAGTCACAAGCAGGAAGTGGAGAGAAAGGAGAGTGAGTTTCTTTGTCAAAAGAGCAGTGAGAGAGACAGAAGAGGGAAGTGTTGCTTTCAGATTTGTCTCAATAAATTTATGATGCCTTGTCTTTGTAATGTGCATGTTGTGAAATATGTTGCCTTTCTTGTCCTCCACATCTCTTCATTGGCCAGCCCACACTATGTTCGGGCAATATCAATGCCCCCTCATCAATTTGTGTTATAATTTCAGAAAGTATGAGCCAAAAACATCACTATAAAATTATCTGAAAATTTAAAAAATCAAAAGTATAAAGGCAACCATATTCAATCCAGACAAGTAGAATGGAGATAGACTAAAATTCATAAATTCTTATTAGTGAAGGTTCATAAAGCCATGTGAAGCGAAGAAATAGTGATAACTTTACTTTCAAACAATATATTGACAGTTTTAATGTTAAAACCAAAAACCTTTTGAATGACTTGTACATTTTAAAATTAAAATTTCACAGAGAACGTGATTTATACTCTATAGTTTTTATTGACTCTTCAAGCGAGAACTTGTATTCAATAAAAATTGATTCAATTGATAAAAATTTGACCTACAATTAACAAGATTATGAATTCAAAGTGATAATTTTATTGATAAACAATTTATAGGTGTTTTTTGGAGTCTTGAGGCATGTCTCAATCTCTCTGATGAGCTATTAGATGTACCAAGTTATCAACTCACCTAATTTTTTTTCTAATTAAAAAAAGAAATGCCAGAACTTGTGGAATGAGGAAAGGACGGACCGATAGAATGATATAGGATGGGCTATAGACACAGTTGTAGCTAGAAAGCATGCAGATTCTGACTTGGCGCTGAAAAGGAAAAATTTTGTTGCGGCCAGACCTAAGGCCCTATCCTACCACAAAGCCCATAATACTTGACAAAAATTGCTGGGCCTTTACAACTTCTTCTTGTTTTTTCTTTTTAAATATGCCTTTCTTTTACTTTCTTGGCGAATTCTTCAAACTTCTGTTTTTTAAAAAAATTTAATAATAACCAAGGTTGGTAAACAAATGGTTATCTTTATATTCTAATTCTCATTTCATGACATCTGATATTTATTTTGAGAAGCTGAGAGATTTTCCTCCTAAAAAGAAAATGCCAATATGACTTCATCCTCAAAACCAATGTTTGGGATTGGTGTATGAGGGCTTGAATTTGTAATGTGCACATAATAACTATCAAATCAACAGGCATTGGTCATAGAACGAGTGATAATGCCGCGCTTAAGCATAAAATTCTGGATTTGAGTTCATAAAGATATAAAAAACATCCTTAAAAAAACTATTTCTAATTGAATCCAATAATACCCAAGTTTGACCAATAGAACAAAAAAATTTAGAAATAAACTCGTATTTGTTTTCATCTCTTTTCTTTTTGGTTGAGTGAACTTGTGGCTTGCGTTTCAAAACACACGTGGAACCAAAAAAGCCAGTGAAATTACAACGGAATTTTGTGAGTTATAACAAACCCAATAAGTTGAAGGTTTCTAAATTTCAAGTTCTCAATCACTTCATACACTTTCTAGGTCAATTTACAGCGCCGTCAAACCCACACCACAGCTTCTCTTGCTGATGGCACCAAACTGGAAAACTAATACTACAGAGGGGGGGGGTGTTGTTTCTTGATTAATAACTAATCAGAATCACGTTGGCTACATGCAGGTACATTGAACGTGAAATTCCTGATCGGTTACACGGACGGAATTGACAATTCCCTCGTCCTTGTTTGGATCCCTACTAATTCCGCAGCTGATTCCTTCGAGACAAAGCCAAGAAAAACAGCTCCATCTTCTATCCCATCCTCCACAAAATTCACTATTTACAATTCTGATTTGAGTTGTGACTCATCATCTTCAGCTGCATATCTTGGAGTCTTGAGACGATTCACCAGTCTGTCTAATGCATCTTTCATCCACCAATGTCTACAAACTTCTCTTGCCTCAGCCACACTCATCTACTCACGCACAAGAACAATTCAATCAGACTCATCTCGATCTCATTCTCTGTTCAGAGAAAAAGAAAGCTGACCAACTTGGATAGAAATGAAGTTCGTAATTCATACATACCCAAATTCTTCACGGACGTTTTGCTCTGGCCAGAACTCAAGTTGCTCCTGAACAAGAAGGGGGAACATGTAGCCTTCATAGAATGAATCATGAGTTTTGCTCTTGAAACTCCATTTCCCCAATTTACCCTGCTTCAAACACACACAACACAACAGATCAGAGCAGAGCATTTTAGTTTGTTGAATTAGGGACTTCCATGGATATTGATCAGTAAAAATAAGTGTCTAGAGCACGTGGGGTTACCTCAACAATGCCTCGCACACCAGCTTCTTCAATGGTCTCTCGCAAAGCTGCCTCCTTTTTGGATTCGTCCAGTTCCCAGCCTCCCTGTAATGGGTCAACCACAGGACATTTTTAATAATGTAGAAAATATTGTGTTTGTTGCGTTGTGCCTTGTCTCTTGGGGTGTGCTTTATTGACTCAGATTTCTGTACCTTTGGAAACAGCATTCCGTTGCCTTTCTGAGAACTGATAACTAGAACTTCTAATCCAACTCTTCTGACTCCTTCAAACAAGCTTCTTCACCGAATTTATATCGGTATGGTATACACCTGCATGATTATATTGCAAACACACGAGTTAGAAACTTCATAACCAGTGAATTTCTTCCTCCAGTTTCTTCTGTGTCATGGCTAAATGGTAATAGAAGCTAGAAAAGCTCGTGTATTTTACAGAAAGAGACAATCTTTTTTTTTTTTTGCTGGGAAAGCTTGAAACTAGGGATGGATGGGGACCCAGATTCTGTGTGAAGATACTGTGAATGAGAGAAAGAGACGAACCCGACGACTTGACGGCGACCTTTTCTGTAACGCTGCAATTGCCGGCCGGTGCGAGAGACCAATACGACGGCATTATCTTGGGAAACCAGAGCCACCATTTTGATTCAGCTACTTAATGAAGGATTTGAGAAGGAAGAGGACTCGAAAAGATACAATGCACAGAAGGGAACTGAAATT